TAATAAACCCTAATAAACCCTAATAAACCCTAATAAACCTTAATAAACCCTAATAAACCCTAATAAACCCTAATAAACCCTAATAAACCCTAATAAACCCTAATACACCCTAATAAACCCCAAGACAGAGGAGGGGAAAGAAGGCTCCAGGCAGTGCTGCTGTTGTGCAGCTTAAGAGACACCTTATGTAACTCGGAGCGCAGCTACACCCCAAGGGGTTTGCTTGCTTTTTAGGAGTTTTAAGTTGGACTCGCTGTCTCTCTTTGGGGCTGTCTTGTGTCTCCTCTGACTGTCCCCTTCAATCCTTATTATATCTCGTCCGTCTCCTTTTGCTGCACTGTCTTTTAAGTGCCTCTGCTTGCCTCTTGGAGACTCTAAACCTCCCCTTCTCTCTTCTGTCCCTCTTCACTACGCCTGTCTCTCTCTCTCTCTCTCTCTCTATATATATATATATATATATATATGTATGTAAGTATATCTAGCTGGTGCTGCTGCCTCTTGCTGTTTTTATGTGCTGCCTCTTCTTTTGTCTCTCTCTTTCCTCTCAAGTTCTTAATATTGCTTCCTATCTAATAATCCCTTCTTTGTCTGTCTCTTCCTGTCTCCAAGGAGACAGGAGCGAGCATCTAAAGGAGACACTGTCTAAAGGAGACACTGTCTAAAGGAGACACTCACTGTCTCCTTCTTTGCTACTTACAATTCTCTGTACTCTGACAAACCCAAACTTAACTCCGACATGGGGCCCCCAGCTCACCCCAACCCTCTGGGGGCCCCCTCACAGTAAACAGGGTACTAAACCCGTACTGGGGGGGCCCCTAAACCTTGTTTGTTGGGGGGCCCCTAGGGCCCCCCCGAAGGGGCCAGGGCCCCGAGGGGCCCTCTTAAGAACGAGAAAGCCTTAAGGGGCCCCTCGCTGTCAAAAGGAGACAGCCCAAAGTCCCCATATATACAATGCAGCCCCCAAAACACCTGAAACAGCAGCTGCTGCAGCATCTGCTGCTGCTGCATTTGCTGCTGCATTTGCTACAGCATCTGCTGCTGCTTCATTTGCTGCTGCATCTGCTATAGCATCTGATGCTGCTTCATTTGCTGCTGCATCTGCTATAGCATCTGCTGCTGGATCTGCTGCTGCATTTACAACAGCATCTTGTGCTGCTGCTGCTGCATTTGCTGCAGCATGTGCAGGTGTGTTTAAGTTAGCTGAGGAAGTCTACCAGGGAGGTCCTGAGTTTGAGGTCATCGCTGAGAGACAGCTGCTGCTGCTCTGCGTTTGTCAATTTAAATATTCTCTCAACTACCGCCAGCTCTGTTGCAGTTGTCTCCATACCGCAAAACCCTACCCAGTCGTTCACCATCAAACCTATACAGCAGCAGCAGCACCAACAGCAGCAGCAGCAGCAGTTGCAGCACCGGTAGTAGTAGCAGCAGCAGTAGAGGTAGTAGTAGCAGCAGCAGTAGTAGTAGCAGCAGCAGTAATAGTAGCAGTAGTAGTAGCAGCAGTAGTAGTAGCAGCAGCAGCAGTAGGAGTAGCAGTAGTAGTAGCAGCAGTAATAGCAGCAGCAACACTAGTTGCAGCAACAGTAGTAGTAGCAGTACTAATAGCAGCAGAAATAGCAGCAATAGTAGCAGCAGCAGTTTAGTCTCTAGAAGTTAGTGTTTATAGGTTTATGTTTAGGTGCTGGTGTTTAGTTCATGGGCTTTATGCTTATGGGTTTCAAATTAGGGTTTAGGGTTTAGGGTTTAGGGTTTAGGGTTTAGAGGGCCCACCAGCGCCCACAAGGTCTGAGCCCCTGTTAACTGTCCCTGCAGTGAAGGGGACCTGCAGCAACTGAGACAAGTCCTCCATCTCTTCTTTGGTTGTTCCTGAGTGCACCTGAAGGAGACAGCAAAGACAAAAGGAGACACTTAGCAGCAATAAAGAGACAAAAGAATAAAGCTAATGAAGACAAAAGGAGACACTTTGCAGCAATAAAGCCAAAAGCATGGAGTTAAAAGGAGACAGCAGAGACAAAAGGAGACACTTAGCTGCAATAAAAGCAAAAGAATAAAGCTAAAGAAGACAAAAGGAGACACTTGGCAGCAATAAAGAGACAAAAGAATAAAGCTAATGAAGACAAAAGGAGACCCTCAGCAACAAAGAAAGACAAAAGGAGACACCTGGCGGCAGCTAAACAGGGGCAACGGGAGACACCAAGCAGCAACAGAGAAAGAGCGAGAGAGAGACATATTATTGCAGCAGGAAGGAGACAGACAGACCCCTCAGCAGCAGACGAACTACCAGAGATTAAAAAGAGACAGCAGCAGCGGGAGTTCCACCTGTCTCCCCTCAATAAGGACCCTATAGTGTCTCCTCTAGGGTTTAGGGTTTAGGGTTTAGGTCTGCTTACAAGTCCCCCCTGATTTGTTAACACGCAGTAACTCCCTACAAGCAGCTGGCCGCCTATGATTGAGCGGAACACCTCCACCTGCGCAACAGCAGCAGCAGCAGCAGCAGCAGCAGCAGAAGGCATGAGGGCACGTATAGACAAGAAAAGAAAAGAAGAGAAGGAGACAACATAAAGGGGTATAGACGTGAAGTAAAAAAAGGAGACAGACAGCAGGAAAAGGAGACAGACACCTAAAAGGGAGACAGACACCATAAAAAGAGAGACAAAATAAAAGAAAAAGAAATAATAAGAAGTGCCGGAAGGACATCAGCTGCTGAAAGGAGACAGTCAGACAGCTAAAGGAGATGCTGAGACAGCATCAGCAACAGCAACAACAGGAAGTATATAAGAAAGAGACACAAACAAAAACAGAAAGGAGACAACAAGAAGAGGGAGGCAGATAAAAGATAAAAAGCTGAGCAAAAAACAGACATACAAAGAAAGTCATAACAAGAGGAGACAGCAAGAAGAAGGTGACACCAAGGAGGAGACAAAAACGAGGAGGAGACAGCAGCACGAGAGACAGCAAGCTGAAGGAGACAGCAGCATAATAAAACAAGAGAAGGCGACAGCAAGAACAAAAAGAAAAGAACGAGGGCATAAATAAAGCAGCAAGCGAGGAGACACCTGGAGAAGGAGACGCCAAACAAAGGCGAGCAGCACCAACAGCAGCTACAACAGCAGCAGCAACAGCAGCAGCAGCAGCAGCAGTGAAAGGGGCATCACCTGCAGCACATCTTGAATAAGTTCTGCTGTCTCTCTGTCTATATCCGGATGCAGCAAAGCCGTATAGTCGTTCGTAGCAACACAATTTCCTAGAGCAGATAGACGCTCTTCTACTCTTCTTATTTTCACGCTGTCCGGCAGACTGTTGCGCAGATGCTGCAGCTCCAAATCAGTAGTCGTAGACGGCACCAACAAACCGTGCTTGTTCCCTGCAGCAGCAGCAGCAGCAGCAGCAGCAACAGCAGCAGCAGCAGCAGCAGCAACAGCAGCAGCAGCAGCAGCAGCAGCAATGGGAAAGGCGGTTTCTGCATATGTAGTGGGGAGTAAAACTAACACCTAATGCGATAACAGTATACGAGAACAAATAGCAAGTGCAGCAGCAACAGCAGCAGCAGCAGCCAACAAAGCTAGCAGCAGCATCTGCAGCAGCAGCAAACCACCGGCACCACCACCAAATCTACCAGCAGCAGTAACAGCAGCAGCAAGAGCAGCAGCAGCAGCAAGATAATCAGCAGCAGCAGCAGCAAGATAATCAGCAGCAGCAGCAGCAAGAGCAGGAGCATCAGCAGCAAGATAATCAGCAGCATCAGGAGCAGCAGCAAGAGCAGCAACATCAGCAGCAAGATAATCAGCAAGAGGAGTGCGTAGCCTACCAACAGAGACACTGCCTACGACAGCAGTGCCGGCAATAGATGCATGCACGACGGGTATATGAGGCCCGAGCTCTGCTTCAAGAAGAGAATAAAAGTTCTCGCTGCCTCCGCATGACACTAAACAATAAGAATTTGTTAACCTGCCGAAGACCCCTACCTCGCAAGACGCTTCACAGTGTGCACCTGCATAAACAAAGACACAAAATATATTATCTTATTATCTTATTATTTTATTTATTTATTTATTTATTTATTTATTTTATTTATTTATTTTTATTTTGATTTAAGTGCTTTTGAGCATTTTACTTTTTTTAGTTTTGTTTGGCTTTGTCTGCGATTATACATAATATTTAATAAAATAATAATTATTATAATTAATAATAATAAATAATAATAAATAATTAATAATAATAAGTAATAATATAATATTAATATTAATAATAATAATAATATAATAATGATAATAATAATAAAGTAATTAAAGACACATACAAAAAATCAATCGAATGTAGTTAGGCCAGAGCTGCATAAAGTGCGGCTATCTGCTGCTGCAGCAGCAGCAGCAGCAGCAACAGCAGCAACAGTAGCAGCAACAGCAGCAGCAAGGGAGTGTCTCTAAAGAGGAGACAGTCCTCCCTAAATAGGGAGACAGTCTCTAATTCAAAACAAATAAACAGAGACGGCAACGCATGCAGACAAAAGGAGACAGGAGGAGACACCACAGACACTGCAGCATATTCAACTTAGGCTGTAAAGGCATAGTAACCCTAAACCCTAAACCCTAAACCCTAAGGAGACCCTGCAACCTACGGATCGCCATGGCAGCACTGCATGCGGAGGAGACAGTTGAGCAGAAGCAAAAGCAACAAGTGCAGCACGCGGTGTACGCGCAGGTGCTGCAGGTAGCCACGAAGATGAGGAATTACTGCAGCAGCAGCAGCAGCAGCAGCAGCAGCAAGAGGAGCCGGGCTGGAGGAGACTCCCTGCTGACGCATGCTACGTGCAGCAGGCTAAGCAGCTACGACCTTCCCCAGCAGAGAGACAAGCAGCAAAAGGAGACACTTCTGATGCTGCAGCAAGAGGCAGGAGCAGCAGCAGCAGCAACTGCAGCAGCAGCGAGCGTAGCTGCAGCAGCTGAAGCAGCCGCAGCGGCAGGAGCAAGGGACGGGCTTCTAGCTTGTTGCTGCAGCTGCTTCGTTGCAGTGTCTGTCTCTAAATATATAATTAAACAACAGCAAAATATAAAAGAAGATAAAGAAAAACAAATACAATAGCTGCGGCCTCCACACTGCAGCACAGTTGCTGCGGGGCTGTGGGGAAGCTGCTGCTGCTCTCTGTATATACACCGCAAGAAGCAATAAGAGAGACAGCCAAAAGTAATAAAAGAGACGAAGCAAAGAAGAAAGTAAGAAAAGAGAGACACTACACATCCCAGCAGCAGCAGCAGCGGCAGAAGGCTGCTGTAGCAGCAGCGGCTGCTGCTGCTCGCCCCAGCAGCACGGACGCAGCAAGCCCCAAGGAGACAAAAGGAGACAGGAGGAGACAGCGAAAGGAGACACTTGCAATAAAAACGCATGCAGGCTGAAGCATAAGGCTTTTCAGCTTTATATCTCTATTTTGCGTCTCCGAAGACTCTTAGAGAGAGACAGAGAGAGAGAGACAGAGAGAGACAGAGAGAGAGACAGAGACAGAGACAGAGAGACAGAGAGAGAGACGGAGAGAGAGACAGAGACAGAGACAGAGAGAGAGAGAGAGAGAGACAGACGGAGAGAGAGAGAGAGAGACAGAGGTAGAGAGAGAGAGAGAGAGAGAGAGAGAGAGAGAGAGAGAGAGAGAGAGAGAGACAGACAGACTGTAGAGAGAGAGAGAGAGAGAGAGAGAGAGAGAGAGAGAGAGAGAGAGAGAGAGAGAGAGAGAGAGAGTAAGAGAGAGACAGAGAGAGAGACAGAGAGACAGAGAGACAGAGAGACAGAGAGAGAGAGAGAGAGAGAGACAGACAGACAGACAGACAGAGAGAGACAGAGAGAGAGATAGAGACAGAGAGAGAGAGAGAGAAGCAATAAGGAGACAGGAGGAGACAGACACAAATACAGATACAGAGGGAAAGGAGACATTTGGTGTACCCAAACAATCTCTGTGTCTGCATGCATGCGTTTGTTGCTGCTGCTCCGTTTATTCTTCTAGCCTGTCTGTCTCTCTCTTTGTCTCTCTGTCTCTCTCTGTCTCTCTCTCTGTCTCTCTCTGTCTCTGTCTCCATCTCTGTCTCTCTGTCTCTCTCTGTCTCCGTCTCTGTCTCTTCTGTTTGAAGTCCCTATCTCTTTAACTGGGGAGACAGCGCAGCACGAGGCCTCAGACCCTTAGGGTTTAGGGTTTAGGGTTTAGGGTTTAAGGCTGGAGAGGGTTTTGTCTACAGCTCGAGGATAACTCGCAGCTGGTCCGGTGTATGCTGAGGTGTATATGTGGGGCCAGCAGCAGCAGCAGCTTCCCAGAGAGCTGTGTAGCGCTGCAGCAGCAAACTTGCTGCTTTCTCTTTTGCTTTTGCTGCTGCTGCTGCATCCGATAGTGCTGCTAAAAGGGGACACTCAAGAGCGTTGGGGCTGCCTACAACAGCAGCAACGCATGCATTGCACCTTTCTAGCATTTCTGCTGCTGCTGCTGTTGTTGTTGCTTCTGCTGCTGCTGCTGCTTCCTGTCCCTGCGGAGCAGCGCCCCCTTGTGCGCTATCCTCCACAGCACCAGCACCAGCAGCAGCAGCAGCAGCAGGATCGATGCTGCTGCTACTCAGTTTGCATACACTGCAAAGTCTTGTTGCTTCTAATGCCCCTAACTCCTGGCTTTTGTCTTCTATTAATCGGGTGAGGAGCTGTCGCTGCTGCTGCTGCACCGGGAGAGCCACAACTTCGTGCAGCAGCAGCACTTCCTGGTGCTGTGCGTCCCCCTGTTGTTGTTGCTGCTGCTGCTGGCTGCTGCTGCTGATAAAGGAGACACTTTGTATCTGCAGCGAGGCCCTCAAGCAGCAAAATGCATTCATTACAAACACACACCCTTCGGGGCGAGACATGAAGTCGGCTGCTTGGAGACAGTAATTAATGCAGCGGGGTACATCACGCCCTATAAGAGACTCAAGCTGACTAACAGCGGTTTGCTGCTGCTGCTGCTGCTGCTGCTGCTGCTCTTGCTGCGGCTGTTGCTGCTCTAGGGGGGCAGGCAGACACGCCGCATACGCCATCAGCAGATCCTGCAGCCGCGAGGCAAAAGAAGTCAGAAAGGAAGGAAGATTCCTTCTGCTGCTGCTGCTGCTGCTGCTGCTGCGGCTCCAGCGCCCCTCAGCAGCAGGAGCCCATTCTCCTGCTGCTGCTGCTGCTGCTGCTGCTGACGGAGGCGGCAGCAGCAGCGCTGAAGCCTCCCACTGCTGCTCGAACCTGTCTAGGGCTTGGCCTGATAACTCTAGAAGGAAACGCACAAGTAAAGGCCTCCGCTGCTGCTTCTGCTGCTCCTGTTGCTGCTGCTGCTGCTGCTGCTGCTGCAGACGAAGCTGAGGGGACTCCTTGACAGCAGCAGCAACAGCTCGTTCCGCTGCGGCTGCTGCCTGCTCCAGCAGGAAACCTACTTTGAATGCGGTGATGCCGCAAGTGCTGCTGCTGCTGTTGCTGCTGCTGCTGCTGTTGAGAGCTGCTGCAACCTGAGCAGCAAGGGGCCCCTCCAGGGCCTCAAGGGCAGCGTCAACCAGTGCCATCGGCTGCAGTAGCTGTTGCATAGCAGCAGCAGCAGCAGCAGCAGCACTTCCTCCTGCCTCATCAGGGAGGATTGCTGTATCAGACAGAGGCAGCCAGCTCCTCTCCTGCTGCTGTTGCTGCAGCAGCAGCTGCTGCTGCTGCTGCTGTTGCTGCACAAGAAAGGGAGGCCCTTCTGCAGCTTCTGCTTTCCTCACCTCAGCTGTCTCTGCCGCATCAGCAGCTGACCCGTGTATCGTTTCGCTTGGCTGCCGCTGCTGCTGCTGCTGCTGCTGCTGCTGCTGCTGCTCCATCCCCAGAGCTGCTGCGCCTCCACGGGCGAAGAGGAGCTGCAGCAAGGAGACGAAGACAGCAGCTTCTGCTGCAGCAGCGCGAGGCAGCCACCTCAGCACAGAAGTGAGGGGCCCCGCTATCTCTTTAGCAGCAACAGGGTCGTAGGGGCCCCCCCAATAGGGGCCTTCAAATTGCTGCTGCTGCAGCTGCTGCAGCAGCAGCTGCCGCCGCAGCCGCAGCAGCTGCTGCATACACTGCAGCAAATATGCAGGGTGTCTATACAAATCAGCAAATGCCTCCCACAGCAAAATGCCGCACTCATGCTCCCTCGTCGAACCCACCTGGCTGCCTGCTGCTGCTGCTGCTGCTGCTGCTGTTGTTGCTGTGGTTGGTGCTGCCGGATTTGTCGGCGCTGCTGCTGCTGCTGCTGCTGCTCCATCCATAAGCGGCTGCTGCTGCTGCTGCTGCTGCTGCTGCGCAAGGTCTAGAAGCGCTTGGAAGGCGGAGGTGATGGCAGCACTTCCTGCTGTTGCTGCTGCTGGCGCTGCTGTTGCAGCAAGCTGCTGCAGCCCCTGCAGCAGCAGCATATATAACTTCTCGTGCCCGATATCTTCGAGTTCTTTTGTCTGTTGCAGCAAACTGTCAATAAGGGGAAATGGTGCTGCTGCTGCTGCTTCTCCTGCTGCTGCCGCTTCTCCTGCTGCTGCTGTTTCTCCTGCTGCTGCTGCTGCTAGTTGCTGTAGCAGCTGTTTCTTCTGCTGCACCTCAGCTAGCGCTGAACGTGTGGCCTTGAGCTCCTTAAACAGTGCATCTTGCTGCTGCTGCTGCTGCTGCTGCTGCTCTGCTGCTCCATCTGCTGCTGCAGCTCCTGCTGAAGGCTCCTGCTGCAGCACGGGGCTAGTGAGCTGTTTAAATATCTGCTGCGGGAGACACAAACGATTTAAAAGAGAAAGACAGAGGGTTTCTTTGTCTGTAAGTTGCTGCTGCTGCCTCCGCAACTCCAGCAGCTGCTGCAGCAGCGGCAGCAGCTGCTGTCTGTTCGCAGTGAGGCGCCCTAAAGCAGCACCCAAGGCAGCTCGCAGCTGTTCTGCTGCTTGCTGCAGCTGCAGCAGCAAAGGAGACACTCTCTTGAAGGCCTGTAGCTGCTGTCTGTACACCCCAAGTCGCTGACGCCGCACAAAGAGAGACAGATGCGCAGGCGTTGCGAGTCCTGCTGCTGCTGCTGCAGCTGCAGCTGCAGAAGGCTGCTGCTGTTGCTGCTGCCACCCATGCGCATCGAGACACTTGAGGCTCTCAGCAAGGAGACCTATATCGGTCTGCTGCTGCTGCTGCAGCACCTCCCGCATCATTTGCTGCAGGGGCCCCTCATCAGAACTATCTACAGGCGCAGCTGCGGGGGCCTGAGGAACCTTCCCATTCAGCTGCTGCTGCTGCTGCAGTAGCTGCTGCTGCTGTTGTTGCTGCCTCTGTTGCTGCTGCTCTGCCGCCCCCTCTAGGGAAGGAGGCGGCAGCAGCTGCTGCTGCTGTTGCTGCTGCTGCTGCTGCTGCATTTCCATGGCCTCATAGAGGAAGCAGCAGTGAGGTAGCGAGGACTAGAAGAGAATGGGGGCTACCGTTTAAGGCATGCGTTTTGCTGCTGCTGCTGCTGCTGCGTCCCCGTTGCTGCTGCTGCTGCTGTTGCTGCAGCTGGTGCTGCTGCTGCTACTGTGTTGCTGTTGCTGCTGCTGCTGTCGCCGTCACGGGGCCGCGAGACTACAGAAAGGCGGCAGCGGAGCGAGCTGCGTGTACACCTGAACTATCTGCTGCTGATGCTGCTGCTGTTACTGCTGCTGCTACTACAACAGCATTTGTGTTCACAGCACGAGCAGCTGCAACAGCAGCAGCAGCAGCAGCTGCAGCAGCAGCAGCAGCTGCTGCTGGGGCCGTCTAGAAGGGAGGATGTGTGAGGAGCCTGTGCAACACTTAAAGAAAATAATTTGTCAGTTTGTACTCCAGAAGGCCCCTCAAATAGTTTGTGTGTGGTTAGGGTTTAGGGTTTAGGGTTTAGGGTTTAGGGGTAGGGGGGCCTCCTCAGGGGCCCCCGGGACAACCTGGGGCAGCTTGGGGCTGCTGCGACCTGCAGCGGGGCCCCTAGCTTGTTGCTGCTTTGTTGCTGCTGCATTATATTGTTTGTGTTTATTATCATCTATTTTAAATACTCGAGAGAGACAGGGGGCCCTACTATTTACTTCATCTCCCTGGGGCCCCAACTGTCTCCTTTTTTGGGGGCCCCTCTCTATGTTAGGGCCCTTTTTCCCTCCTAGGGTTTAGGGTTTAGGGTTTAGGGTTTAGGGTTTAGGGTGTTATACCCTTAGGGGCCCCTTGCTGCAGCGCTGCCTCCCTTGCTTGGGGCCCCCAACCCCAGGGGCCTCCAAGGGGGGCCCCCCAGCACAATGAAGCAGCAGGGTTTAATAGACGTAGCAGCAGAGGGCTCTCACGTTCATCAAGTCTTATTTGCTTCTTTGCTTCCTGGGGGGGGCCCCTGCTTAGTGCTGCTGCTGCCTCGGCTTATAAAAGTCTACTGTTTACCAGCCCCACAGGGGGCCCCCCAAGGGGCCCCTCAACGAACCCCACAGGGGGCCCCCCAAGGGGCCCCCCATGGGGGGGCCCCTGGGGGCCCCCATGGGGGCCCCCTAGAGAGTAGCAGTACTGTTGATGAGCCTCTACGCGTTCTATGCGAGGCTCAGCTAAACTATCCTGCAGTGTCTGCTGCTGTTCTTCCCTGCAGCAAAGAAGCACAGCTAGGGGCCCCCCATGGGCCCCTATACTCTGAAGAAACGCGTGTAAGAGGAGAGAGTGAGGGGGCCCCAGGGGCCCCTGATTTGCTGCTGCTGCTGCTAGGAGAATACCGTGCTGTTGTTATGGGGTATGACCCCTCATTGGGGGCCCTGCGAAGCCTCAGCCTTCACTCTTTTTCTGAGCTAGGGCCCAGGGCTTCTGCTGTTAATACGTTTATGCAGGGGCCCCCTTACATTCGATTGCTTGATGAGGGGCCCCCCTCCCCAGCAGACGCAGGGCTAGGGGGGGCCCCCGACGGGGCCCCAGCTATCCCTGCTGGACAGCAGCCGGTAGCTTCTATTAAATGTCTCTGTAAGACTGTTGTCTTCGATTTGCAGTCTTATGCACAGGGGGGGCCCCTAGGGGGCCCTCTAGGGGGCCCCCTGGGGGCCTCTGGGGGCCCCCCTTTAAGAAGCTTCCTCGCTCTTCTCAGCGTAGATGTGCTGCATATTGTTTGCCTACACCTTGTTGTGAGTGAAGCAGAACTACGCTCCTCAGCTGGTGCAGCTACAGCAGCTTCAGCAGCAGCAGCAGCTGCTGCTGCTGCTGCTGCTGCTGCAGAAGGTGAGGAAACTGCTGCCGGTCTGGCGGGGTGCCCTGCAGCAGCTCCAGGGCCGTTAGGCGCGGCTGAGACTCCCCTACAGGCGACCTTTGCTGCAGCAGCAGCAGCAGCAGCAACAGCAGCAGCAAGCAGCAGCGTGGGGCCCCGTAGTGCTCATCGAGCAATGCCCTGGAGCCCTGAGGGGCCCCCTACTTCCTGCGCGGGGGGCCCCCTAGGGCTTGATAAGGGGCCCCCCGCTGCTGCAGGGTCGGGGCAGCTGAGCAGCGTACCGCCTGTTGCATTTCTTGCTGCAGCAGTGCAGCGGCAGCAGCAGCAGCAACAGCAACAGCAGCAGCAAGCAGCAGAGGAGCTGCAGCAGATCGGGGTGGTGGCTGGGGCCCCCTTGTCGGCTGCAGACGGTATGATAGAGACAGAGGGGGGGCCCCCTTCTGTGTGGGGGCAGCATAATGTGCTGCATTCAGGTGTGTCTGTCTCCTCTTGCTTCTTTATGTCTCTTGTAGAAGACGTACCGTTGCCGGGGCGAACAGCAGCAGCAGTTGCTGCTGCTGCTGCTGCTGCACCTGGCGGTGCGTTTGCTGCAGGGGAGTCTGCTGCAGCACAGGCTGCAGCAGCTGCTGCTGCATGCGCAGCAGGTGCAGCAGGACTGCCTTATGTGCTGCTCGACATGACGCCTGTCTCCTCAATGCTGTATCCGTCTGCTGCTTTGCTGCTGGCGGAGGGGCCCCGCGAGTTAGGTTTAGTCTCCGTTGAGGGGGCCCCTGGGATTGGAGCTGTCTGCACGCTGCTGCTGGCTGTACACCCGGAAGAAAGAGACATTCAGATCGTTGCAAAGGTAATCACACTCTAGGGTTTAGGGTTTAGGGTTTAGGGTTTAGGGTTTGAATGCCGGCGTTGTGGGCTGCATATCATGAGGAGCAGGAGCTGCTGCGTTGTTGTAGCTGCTGATGTTGTTGTTGTTGCTGCTGCTGCTGCTGCTGCTGCTGCAGATACCTCATTTGCTCGTGGATACATTCAGTTTGCTGCCAGTCCCCTGCGTACCCTATGGTTTAATTTGTCTGTCTCCTGCGACTGTCTCCGTTTTTAATCTGTCTGGAGGGCGCTGCGGAGGGGGCATACAGCGCATAGCAGACGCGCAGCAGCAGCAAGACAGCAGCAGCAGCAGGAGCAGCAGGAGCAGCAGTACGGTGGCAGGGATAATGCATATTCTTCACCCAGCAGGTTTAGTAAGAAGAGACCTGCAGCAGCTGCCTGCTGTTGTCTATGACCAAAGCCGCCTCAGGCTGCAGCTTGAATCTGGTGCTGCTGCATTCATCAGCAGCAACTGTCTCTTCGTCTCTTCTTCTGACGGCAGGCCCGCTCTTGCACACCTGGTAGGCTTGCTGCTGCTGCTGCTGCTGTTGCTGCTAATGTTGCTGCTAATGTTGCTGCTAATGCTGGTGTTGCTGCTGCTGATGTCGCTGCTGATGGTGCTGCTGCTGCTGCTGCTGCTTGGTGTTGCTGCTGATGCCGGTCGCAGCACTATTATTTCTGTTGATGTTAGCAGCAGTTTGATTTTTGTTGCTCCTGCTGCTGCTGCAGCAGCAGCACCTAGTGGTTGATGAATTATCATTAGTAGTCGTACAAGAGGCATCAAAATGAGACAGTTTATGCTGCTGTCTCCTCTCTGCTGTCTCCTTTCTGCTGTCTCCTTTCTGCTGGCTCCTTTCAGGTTGTCTCCGCCAGTTTAGGGGTGACGGATCTCATATGGACGGCTGTAGATGTCATAGACCCTCTGAGGGGCCCCTCTGCTGCTGCTGCGCTGCTGGGGGCAGCTGCAGCAGGGGAGTATTCAAGTCAGCTGCTGCTGCCTCGTTCGGACTCTATAGCAGTCTGGCCTATCTGTGAAGAAACCAACGAGGTCAGGTTGATGCTGCTGCTGCTGCTGCTGCTGCTGCTGCTAAGTTGCTGTTGCTAACTCGCTGCGGAGAGTGCTGGTGCGAGTGGTGCTGCTGCCGGTGCTGAGGATGCGGTTGTTGCTGCTGCTGCTGCTGTTGCTGCATCCATCGATTGCTTCTTCGTTTCTTCTGCGTCTGCTGCTTCAGGCCTCGTGTGGGGAAGAAGCCAGCTGCGGGGCCTCCGGTCTCAGCAGCAGCAGCAGCAGCAGCAGCAGCAGCAGGAGGTGTTTGGTAGCGTTTGGGGGCCGAGCAAGAGAAGGGACAGGAGTTTGTGTTGTTGCTGCTGAGCCGCTGCTGCTGCTGCCTCCTCGGAAGCCATGGGGGGGCCCCCCAGGGGCCTCTAGGGATCTGCATTGGTCAGGGTCTCCTTTGCTGCAGACAAAGGAGACAGCAACAGGGACAGCATCTTTGGAGGTGTGCTGCAGCCAGGTGCCTGAGCTGCAGCGGGGCCGAGGCGCCCAGCAGCAGCAGCAGCAGCAGCAGCAGCAAGAGCTCTTCACCACCGACGGCAAGCCTCTTGTTGAAATATTTGCTGATGGCTCTGTAGACGTAGCCTATCAGAGGGCCCCCATACTTCGTTATGAAGAGCTGCAAGAAGAGGAGGGGCCCCTGACAGAGTCGTCGCCTCTGGGGTATCTGCGCTGGCTTAAGAACAAGAGCAAAGAAGCAACAGCAGCAGCTGCAGCAGCAGCAGGTGCTGCCGCTGCTGCAGCCGCTTCCTTTGGAGGAAACCCAGGCATTCAACAGTCATTTGCTGCTGCTGCTGCTGCTCTCAACAGCAGCAGCAGCAGCAGCACCAGTACCGCGGATATTGAATATCCTATGGGTGACTCTTTGGGTCTCGTAGAGGCCCCAGGGGCCCCCAGTGTGGGCCCCCTTCTGCTGCGATCCTTCCGCTTTGTTGTAGCAGACAGACTGAAGCTGCAGGGTCTCCCTCCTGCTCGCTGTGTCTCCTACTTGCCTCTACCTCCTCTCGAGCCTGCTGCTGCTGCTGCTGCTGCTGCAGCGGCAGCTACAGGGTCAGGAGGTCCCCCTACGCCTGCGCAGCAGCAGCAACAGCAGCAACAGCAGCAGCAAGAACAGCGGCAGCAGGAGCAGCAGCACGCCTTAGAGGCTTTCTGCTGCTCTTCAGGCAATAGTCGCTTCCTTATCGCAGGAGGCATCTGGCCCTATGGGGCCCTTGGGGCCCTTCAACGAGCTGTCCCTTCGCGACCTCTAGCAGCTGTCTCCGTATTAGAAGGGACTCCAAGAATCGTCTGGGTCCTGCAGCAGCAACAGCAGCAGCAGCACCAGCAGCACCAGCAGCAGCAGCAGCAAAAGGGGGATCAGCAGCTGCTTCTGGTGAGCAGCGACCCCCGTATGGGTCTGGGGGAGACACGTTTAGTGTCTCTTCGCAGCGGGGCCCTTGTAGACATCACCTCAGCAGCAGCAGCAGCAGCAGCAGCAGGAGAAGCAGGGTTCGCAGCAGCGGAAAAGAGCTCAGGGGAGACCCCAGGTGCTGCTCTGTCTCTCGACAGCCCCACGCTGTTTGCTGCTTCTCTTTTAGACGGCCTCTTGCTGCTGCAGCTGACAGCAGAAGAGCTGCGGGTAACGGGGCCTCTTGGCTGCTCTCTCTTGTGCCCCCCAATCGATATGACGGAGCCGCCGATGCAGCAGCAGCAGCAGCAGCATCAACAACTGCAGCAGCAGCAAAAGCAACTGCAGCAACAACAGGGCGAGCTGCAGCAGGAACAAGAGGCAGAGATGCTGGAGGAGGAGCAGCAGCTGCAAGAGCTTGAGCAGGCGCAGCACGACCAACTGCAGCAGCTGCAGCAGCAGCAGGAGTTTGAGAGCAGCAGCAGCAATAGCGAGACAGCAGCAGGCGCAGAGGGGACGCTGATGGAGGCCGAGCCCCACGGCGCTGTCTCCTCTCTGCCTATGGAAGTAGATGAGGAGACAGGGGGGGAGACAGTGTCTCTCTCCCCTGCAGCAGCAGCAGCAGCAGCAGCAGCAGCAGCAGAGACAGCAGCAGAGACAGCAGCAGGCATGTCTCCTTTCATGGGGGGTAGCTGGGGAGCAGCAGAAGGGGGTGCCGAAGGCAGTTTTGCTGCTGCAGTTAGGGGCAGCGCAGCAGCAGAATGGGTCTGTGCTGTCCTTGATGATTTTCGCTTGCGTCTTTGGCGTATCGACCTTGCTGCTGCTGCAGCAGCAGCAACAGGAGCAGCACCAGCAGCAGCAGCTGGTGCTGCTGCTTTTGCTGGAGCTGGCCCGGGCACACCCCCGTATCGTCCGGCGCAGCAGCAGCAGCAGCAGCAGCAACTGCTGCACGAAGTGCCTCCGCATGCCATGCCTTGCTGCATGCGGGGTCGGGTGAAAAGTGCTCAACTGTACGTACACCCGAGCAGCAGCAGCAGCAGCAGCAGCAACAGCAGCAGGTCGAGTGCTTATGAGGCTGCCTCGGAGGTGTTGTGCTGTTTAGTTACTATTGAGGGGCCTTCGCATGCACAGACGCTTCACGTGGTGTCTCTGCAGCGCATGCAGTGTCTCTTCAGCTCCATTGATCTCCGTCTTGTGTCTCCTCTGCTCCGTAACTGCGGCTCTTGCGCTCAGCTTGATCTGCAGCAGCTGGTGCTGCAGCAGCAGCAAATGCAGCACCCCGCGCCCACACTGGCGCCTTCTGCAGCAGCAGCAGCAAGCAGCAGCAGCAGCAGCAGCAGCGCGAATGATGGGAACCTCTTGCGCTCTCCTAGAGACGGGGAGGAGGCGGAGATTACCCCCCCGCAAGAACAGAGTGCAGCGAAAGCAGCAGCAGCAGCAGCAGCAGCTGCTGCTGCTGCTGCAGCTCTTGCTGAGGAGGGGTTGATTGATGCCCGAAGGTCGCTGACGTGTGTCTCCGCAGACCCGCTGCCGCTCGCGCGTGCAGCACAAGAAGCTGCTGCTGTCTCTGGTGGGGCTGCTGTCGGGGCAGCTGCTGCTGCCTCTGCTGCTGCAGCAGCAGCAGCAGACTCGACAGAGCTGCAAGAAGAAGTGCTCAATGCTGAACTGCTGCAGCTGGAGCCTGCGATTAGCGCTGGCCCCACACTGGCGGTCTTCCTTACCGGAAGGCCCCCCCTCCTGTACCGCGGGTTTGCTGCTGTTGCTGCTGCTGCTGCTTCCTCTGCTGCTGCTGGTTCTGCTGCATCAGGGGCTGCAGCAGCAGCCTTGAGGTCGCCGTCTGTTGTGCTTGAACAAGCCGGTGAAGGAGACATCACCCAGGAGGAGACACCTCCTCAGCTGCGCAGCTGCACTGTCTCCTTTCCTTCAGCCTTCAGTCTCGTTCCCCACAGCTGCACAGAGTGCATCCCTTCGCTGCAGACGCCTTCAGGAGCAGCAGCAGCAGCAGCAAGCGGGGAAGCAGTTGCTGCTGCTCCCGAGCCCTCTGTGCAGTTTGCTGTCTCCTCAGGATACACCACACAGCCGCAGCAAGTGCAGCAATGGGGGGGAGGCGTGTCCCTCATAGTGCCGCCGCTGCCTCTTCCAGAGTCTTCAAATGCAATGCAGCAGCAGCAGCAGCAGCAGCAGTTGCTGCTGCAGCAGCAGCTTCCTGTGCTGTGGGTCTGCAGCAGCCGCAACGAGCTGTACGTACACCCCAGCGAGCGAAGAGACATATTAAGTGCTGCTTCTTTTCCTTGGCCGTCAGGGCCCCCTGGATGTTTTGCTGTTTTACATGAAAGAGACAGCTCGTTGTGTCTCTGTGATATTGCGGGTCCCTTTGATCTTACGTACTGCTCGCCCCAGCCATCAGCAGCAGCAGCAGCAGCAGCAGCAGCAGAAGCAGCAGCAGCGGGGACATCGAAGACGTTCGGGCCCTTCCGGCTTGATGGGCCCCTTCCTTTCTCTTCGTTTTTGCTGGGGTCCTCTACTACTCACGTAGCTGTCTCCTCAGGTTGTGAATATACGCTGCCGCAGCAGTACGCGGTCGATGCAGCAGCAGCAGCACCAACAGCAGCAGCAGCAGCAGCAGCAGCAGCAGCTACAGGGCGCCTGGTTGCTGTCTGTGTTCACCACCCCACAGAAGAAGTCGAGCAGATAAGAGAAGTTCTCGCAGCACGCAACGCGCTGCAGAGGGCCCACCTTGCGCTGCAGGGTCGCCTAGGAGATGCAGCAGGAGCAGCAGCAGCAGCAGCAGGGGGTGAGGGGGCATACGAGGAAGGCACTCTTGCTCTTGGCGGGAGAAGTGCTGCTGGAGGAGACAGTATTCATGATAAGCTGCTTCCTAATCCTTACCTCGTTGCATGCACCGATAGACGCGTAGAAGTAGAGGGAGAGCTGGGGAGACAGTATGAAGTGCTGCTCTATCATCAAGACAACATGCACACTCCTTTAGGGTTAGCCCTCTGCACTTGCTGCTGCTGTCTCTTCGTGCTGCTTGCTGCTGCTGTCTCTTCGTGCTGCTTGCTGCTGCTGTCTCCTGACTGTCTCCTTTTGTTTGCTGAGTCCTATCGCGCGCCTTTCTCCTGTCTCTATTCTTTTATCGCTCTCTCTCCTCTCTCTGTATCTGTCTCTTGTCTCTTTTCTATCTGTCTCCTTTCTCTTTTCTGTCTGTCTCCTTTCTCGCTTCTATGTGTCTCTTTTCTCTTTTCTATCTGTCTCCTTTCTCTCTTCTATCTGTCGCTTGTCTCTCTGTACCTCTTCTCTGTGTCTCCTGCCTCCTACCCCTCTGTCTCCTCTCTCTCGTCTGGCTGTCTCCTTTCTCTTATCTGTCTGTCTCTTATCTCTTGTCTGTCTGTCTCCTATCTGAGTTATGCTCCCCACAGTTGTTTGTGTATCAGTCTCTTGCGTCTGCTGTTGCTGCAGCATTCTGCATTGTTAAGTTTGCTGCTGCTGCTGCTGATGTTATGTTTGTTTGCTGCTGCTGCTGTGGGGTGTACGTACAGCGCCTTTCTCCTGGGCCCGTGTGAAGAGGTGATGTCTCTTCAGTTTGTTTTGCTAGACGGAGTAGAGGTGCTCTCTGTTGGAGTAGCGCAGCCCCTCAGTGAAGCTGTAGAGACAGGCGGACGTCTGCTGCTGCTGCGTCTCCCCCACCTGCCTCCCCGCCCTGCAGCAGCGGCAGCAGCAGCAAATCAGGAGCAGGAGGTGAGAGCGCTGATTTTTGCTGTCTCTTTTTGTATACCCGTTGCTCTCTTTAGTGTCTCCTTTCTCTGTCCCCCTGTCTCCTCGTCTTTATGCAGAGACAGTAAAGCGTCTTGCTGCTCTTTTTGCTGCTGCGTGTTGCTGCCTTCTGGTGTCTCTTTCTCCTGTCTCTGTCTCTGTCTCCCTTTCGTCTGTCTCCTTTTCTCTCTATGGATGTGGCTGCTCACTGATTGCCTGCAATGTCTCCTCGCTGCTGTCTTGCTGCTGTCTTGCTGCTGCTTTGCTTCTATCTTGCTGCTGCTTTGCTGCTATCTCGCTGCTGTTTTGCTGCTGTTTTACTGCTGTCTTGCTGTTGCGTTGCTGCTATCTTGCTGCTACCTTGCTCCTATCTTGCTGCTGTGTTGCTGCTGCGCATGCGTTGCTGCAGCAAGGAGACGGGCTGAGTTTGTTTTCTAGTTTTGTCTTTACTAGCCCTGTCTCCTGTGTTGGGGGCTTTTCGCCGTCTGCTGCTGAGAGACACTATTTGCTGCACTCTGTAGGCAGGCGTCTCTTTATTCATGTAAGCAGCAGCAACTGCAGCAGACTATAGTGCATACACCCCACAGCATCAAAGGAGACACTAAGGAGACAGTAATTCGTTAAAAGGAGACACTAAGGAGACAGCAATTCGTTAGAAGGAGACACTAAGATAAGCCACTATAAGGAGACACTGACGCAGAAAACAGAGACAAGGGAGACAGCAAAGAGAGAAAGGAGACAGCAAAGAGAGACAAAGGAGACAGCAAAGAGAGACAAAGGAGGCAGTGTGTTGTGTGCAGGAGCTCGACGGGGACCTGCTGGCTCGAGGGGCATTTGCTGATGTGGGGCTGTCGGTGACTTCTGTCTCCTCTCTTAAACACTTCATCATAGCGGGAGACCTTTACAAGGGTGTCTCCCTCCTTGTGTAAGCCCCTTATTCTGCTGCTGCTGCTGCTGCTGCTGCTGCTGCTGCTGCTGCCGTTGCTGCTCTCGCTGCTGCTGCCGTTGCTGCTTCCGCTGCTGCTGCATCGGCAGAAGCAGCTGAGATCTCCACATGCCTCTAAGAGACAGCTACTGTCTCCTCCTAGTCTGCAGCACAAAGCAAATGCATAAACCCTAAACCCTAAAACCAAACCCTAAACCCTAAACACAGGCCCATGCCCAAGCAGCATCAGGCTGCTGATTAGGGTTAAGGGTTTAGTTAAGGGTTTATGGCATAGGGCCTAGGGTTTAGGGTTTAGTGCTCAGGGCCTGCGGTCTAGGGTTCAGGGCCTAGGGTCTAGGGTTTAGGGTTTAGGGTTTAGGATTCAGGACCTTGGGTGTAGGGTTTAGGGTTCAGGGTTCAGGGCCTAGGGTTTAGGGTTTAGGGTTTAGGGTTTAGGGTTTAGGGTTTAGGGTTTGTGCATAGGTGGCGATATGACTCTTCTTCTGACTCGAGGCGGTTGGAGATTGTGAGCCGCACAGTCCCACATTGGGTGCTGCCTGTGTCTGCATGCGAAGCAATAACAGAAGGAGACACTTTAGGTAAGAGGGGTCTCCTTTTATTTGTCTCTTCTTTCGTTCTCTTGCTGCTGCTGCTGCTGCTGCTGCTGTCTCCTCTTCTTCTCTCCGTCGTCACTCTTGCTGCTCCTGTCTCCTTTCTGCAGCAAACTTTCTCCTGCCACCCCACACAACAAAAGTGTCTCCTTTCTATAGCAGCATTCTCTTTCTCCTTATCCGGTGTATCTGCATATATATATGTATGTATACATATATATATATGTATATATATATATATATATATATATA